CTAGTATTAAGAGAATATCAGCCAATGGCTTATGAATTTTTAATGAATTTCCGAAGAGCACGACACGATCCTAAAGAGTCACATGTTCAGTTCGAATCTAGACTGTCTGCAACTTTCCACTATTATTGTCAATTATGCGATATTAATGACTTTGATACACTTTGCCAACTAATGATTTCCGACAAACTTTTCCACACGTTAGATAGAGAAACGGCAACTTACATTAATATTAAAACAGGAGAAAATTGGTTAAAAACCTAAGGATTTAGCTAAAGACCTATATTGAGCTATATTTTGTAAACAAAGGCAAATCATTAAACGAAACTATTTTTAACAATAATGAAAATATAGCTAAGTTGTCCCATTCTTCAAGAGAATCGAAATACATTCCGCCTCATATGAGAAGCAACATAAATAAAAATAAATATCCACCCAAAGACTGTTACATAAGTGGAAAATTAACGCACCTCGCAAAAACTTGTCCACAAAGAAACAAATTGGAAAAACCAAACACTCCTTTAAAAAAGGAAACACCAGAAAAAATACTAGTGATAAAGTAATAGGAAAAATTGGATCTCCTTGCTTGTCAAATTAACTTTTTAAGCAACCATTGTAAAAGGTAAATATTTGTGTTGCAGGTAACCAAATCCAAGCCATAATTGATTCGGGGGGTGAGATTTCTGTTATCAATCCAAAACACATATCAAATTTCTCTATTGAGAACAACTGTAATATTGACCTAATTTTCGCATTTGGAGAAACTATCAACTAAAGTGGCCAGAATTCCTATATCCATCAGAAATGCTGATAACCCTAATTTATTGAAACCTGTCAAAATATTAGTAGCTTTAACAGAAAAACTTCATATTCCCTGCATAATTACTCCAAATGTTTATGATTTATTGACCTCTGATTCACATCTCTTTAGCGTGAATCGTGATTGCGACTGTGTCTCCCCGGAAGTGAGGAGTCATCAGTCAAAACAATTCAAAGGTGAAAGCCGTGCTGATTTATTTATGACAGGAGGAGAGCAAAATTTAGTCATAAGTTGCCTTCAGGGTGAAAACAAAAGTGAGGATAAATTAAATGTGGGTCAACATTCGGATGCCAGTATTTTTAAACAACAGCAAAGGGAATGTGAGACATTATGCAATATCTATGAAGACGAGCAAAGAAATAAAAATAAATATTTCTTAATGGATGATTTGATTTATCATACCGAAAGAATTTCCGGAGAACAATTAGTCAATTGGTATTACCGAAAGTTAGAAGGGAACAAATTTTAAAATTAGCTCACAAATCTATTTTTGCAAATCATTTAGGGATGAGAAAAACAAAAGAAAGGATTCGTTATTCATTTTATTGGCCAAACATGTCACGAGATACTGAAGAATATTGTACAACTTGTAAGGAATGTCAATTACAAAGTAGAGAAAGAACCAACGATCGTATACTCATAGTTCCAGTTCAGCGACCTGAATTTCCATTCGACACAGTAAATGTAGATATAATCGGTCCCAATTGAACCTCCATCAGCACGTAAACACAAATATGTACTATGTTTAGTCGACCAACATTTTAGGTGGTCAGAAGCTGTCCTTTTGAGAACTATTACAGCAAAATCAACATGTGACGTATTATTAGAAATCTTTATGAGAACGGGCATACCTTGGGTAATAGCTAGTGATCAAGGTACCAATTTTGTTACAGAATTAACACAAGAAATTCATGCCAGATTAGGAGCAAGTCCTAGATTTGCAACACCAGGACATCCACAAAGTTCGGGATTAGTTGAACAGTATAACCAAGTTCTAAAACGTATGCTTCATCATATCATTAGAAACGACTCTAAAAATTGGGACAAACACATACCATACCTGTTATTCGCTTACCGCGAAATTCCAAATTGTACTACGGGAGTATTCCCATTTAAATTAATGTATGGAAGAGAGGCCAGAGGTCCGTTGTCAGTATTACAATCGTCATGGTCAGGAGAAATTCCATTACCAATAAAATTGGGTAAAAGTGCTGTTGATTATCTACAGGAGCTAAAAATGAATTTAGAAATAGCAGCAGAGCAAGCATCTATAATTGCAGAATTGAAACAAGGTGCATATGCAAGATATGCTAATCGAAGGGCTATATATAAATAATTCAATCCTGGAGATCAAGTGTACCTGCTGATTCCAGATTCCAGTAATAAATTACATGCCAGATGGAGAGGATCAGCAGAAATAGTATCTCGTTGTAATCCAGATTCTTACAGAGTCAAACTGACAGATGGTTCAATAAAGAAGAGTACACGTAAATAAAATTAGAAAATTTAATCCAAAAGTACAGGCAGTAGGTATAATATTTGAGAACGAAGAAGAACTAGGAAAAGTCTATCCTACACTCAGTGTGAGTGACAAGTCCAATCATTTTCATCTTAGCGAAGTAGACTTAAGCCATTTAGATGATGATAAAAGGAATGACATGATGAACTTGTTAAGAAAATATGAAAACTTATTTATAAATAAGGTACAAACTGCCAAAGTAGGAGAACATAAAATAAGATTAAATGACACTGAAAGAAAGAAGCCGTATGTTTATCGAATTCCAGAAGGATTGAAGCCTCAAGTAGATAAACAAATCGAAGAAATGTTGTCATTGGGATTGATTGAAGAAACCAACGCTGAAATTTCGTACCCTATTGTATGCATTATGAAGAAAGACGGTAATCTTCACTTTTGCGTTGACTTTAGATCCCTTAATGCAGTAACGAAACCAGACGACTTCCCTATGGAAAATCCTAAAGAACTCTTATTCCACATTGGAAAAGCCAAAGTGATATCCAGCATTGATTTACTCAAAGGCTATTGGGCCATACCATTAGAAAAAGAAAGTCAAGAATTAGCATGTTTCAAGACACATCGAGCTGAGTATCAATTTAAAGTCATGCCTTTCGGGCTACGCAACGCCGCTGCAACATTTCAGAGAGTGATGAACCAGGCCCTTGCTAAATACAAAGATTTTGCTCGAGCCTACTTCGATGACATAGCAATTTATTCAAACAGCTGAAATGAACATTTAGTACATCTTGACATTATTTTTTCAAAACTGTTTGAACTACAGTTTTCCGTAAATCTCAAGAAGTGTTCCTTCACTAAATTTCACATTAAGTATCTAGGACATATCATCGGTTCCGGCAGTCATCGTACTGATCCAGAGAAAAGGGAGGCTATCCAGAAATTAGGTACACCTCAAACAAAGAAACAACTGAAAAGCATTCTAGGCCTATGTAATTATTACAGAAATTACATTCCACATTATGCCGAAACAGCTTATCCATTAATCGGGCTCACCAAAAGAAGAAGTCCTGAAGAGCTGTGCTGGACAGAAAAACATGACAAAGCATTCGATAAATTAAAGAAATGCCTAATGGAAGCACCTAGTCTTTATATCCCTGTTCCAGAGTTACCTTTCATAATTCAATGTGATGCATCTTCAACAGGTGTTGGAGCCTGCTTATCTCACGGAAAAATGGAAAGTTGTACCCGATTAGTTATGCCAGCCAGAAACTAACCAAAACACAACAAGCATGGCCAACTATCGAGAGGGAAGCTTATGCTGTTATTTGGAGCTTGAAAGTGTTTGAAACTTGGATTTTTGGATCACCTGTGGAACTGATAACTGATCACAATCCGTTAACTTTCATCACAAAGAATGCACCACAATCTTCTAAGTTACAGAGATGGGCTTTAGCATTACAAAAGTATGATACTACAATTTCACATTGCCCAGGTGCTAAGTTAAGCAAATCTGATGCGTTGTCTAGACTAGAGATTATTGAGTGACTTTTGTGAAAGAAAGAACTTTTCATAGACATTTATGAACTCTTAAGATTATTATTTTGTGTGTATGTGTTTTCTTTTTCAGCTACTCTCCTAGAGACTTTTAAGTATATCATAGAAACTTTAAGTATTCTATTGCATTAGAATTGTTTCATTACTAATTTTTAATCATTTATATGTTACAGTTTTAGAAGAAGTCTTGTAGTAGGTGTAGAAGTAACCTGTATAAGTATTGTGTTATGTATCTTTCAACTTCAGTATTGATTGATTTATAGACTTTAGTAGGTAAGTAACTCTTTTGTTTGACGTCACCATAATTTGTCATATTTCAATAGGTTTTCACCCTATTTCAATCTTGGATGGGGTGTGTGATGCATGGGTGACGCCAACCAACAAGATGTATAGAGGGTGCTGGCTCTTAATATGGAGAGGCACCAAAAGTTTAGCTTCTAAGAGGGAGACCGACAGAGAAGGTCACATGGAAGGCTCGTGGGAGCCATTAATGAAAACGAAATTGTATCACTTTATATATTTCAGTTACTAGTATTGTAGTTTAGTATTAGTTTTGTGTTTGTGAAATAAATGTTAAAAATACAAAAAGGTGGAGTTATTTCTCTATGAGGCGGTGGATGAAGACAGGGATGCAAAATATTAGGTATGTGGCTACAATGCAATTAACAATAATACATAATTTGAATTTATACCCACTAGTTTAAAATTGACTTAATTTTTTAGCATCCCATCAGAGTAAATTTAATTTTTCTAGTAAAAAAAAAAAAAAAAAAAGATATTGCCAAACTAAAATAATTCTTTTCTGAAAACACATCAAGAAAACTATGAAAATCTGGACTAAGAAATTATTCTTACATATTTAGAAAATCAGTAAATCCCTTTATGCATAATACCTTTATTTAGTGAATGAAATTTTATTGTCCTAAAACTTTGAAATATTTAAAATATACAAATCATAGTCATCAAAAACAAATCCTTCTTATGATCATTAATAAACTCATAGTCTTCACAGTCATTTAATCTAAAATTCAATGCAAAACAAAACATTCAGCCATATCCTTAAACAATTAATTAAGCATAAAATTATTTTTCCGTCGACATGATTTTAACACACTGACCTATATCATAAATTTTCAAAGTACAATATTATCATACCTTCGCTTCTTCTACAAATGGTGTAAAGAGGCGAGGCTTCACATATAATCCATGGCTGTTTCTGCCTCTAATCCAAGCTTTAGGTTTCAGATTAGAACTGTGGCCCACACACAAATCATCTCCCAGCATATAAGAAGGAGGTGTGCTAATGAGGCCCCGTCTAACAGCTGATACTAAAACTTCACTATCAGGAGGTAGTATATGACTTATACGAACACAACTCAAAAGGTCAGACAACAAATCTCGAAGTTCGACATCGCTCAAATCTCGTCTTCGTAATCCCCGCCGACTGACGCTATGGGCAGTATGGCTCACCAAATTAGGTTCTACAGAATACAAATAAAAGAATTCAAGAATGAAATGTTTGATTAATATACATACATTAAAAACATTTATATATAATATAAAATAAAATATTATTAATTTTTATTTATATATTATTATAAATTATTATTTGTATTATAATTTATTATTTATATATCATTATATTATTCATAAAGACATAAAATAAGAAATTTAGAACCAATTTTTCACAAAGACCAAAAACTGAAATTCATACTTAATAAATTTCAAATAATCCTATAAATGCAATAAAGAATTTTAAAAAGTTAAAGCCATAACTTTTTAAACAAACAATACCCCAATTTATTATATAATTTTTATAATATAAAATATTTGAAAAATTTGCAACAAAAATTATGCAAATCTTTTTTAGTGACAATTTAGGAAAAATTTGTACTTTGAACCAAAATCTATTTTTAACTTGTCGGAAGAGGTACAAAGAAAATCTCAAGGAGAAAAATTCTATTGCACCAAATAAAAGCTCAGAGAATATAACATATTCTAGCTTACTGAATAAAATATGCTTGTGAAACAAATCATTAATAGCTATCATTTTAGAGTAAATTTTTCATACTATTTCATGCAAAATGAACCGGGCAGGCACTCGTAAAAAAATTTTCCCTTGTTACATAGAAAATTCTCAGCAAAATAAAATAAGTCATTTTCCCCTTTTTTCCTTTTATTTTTTTCCATTTTTTAAAAAATGTTATTCTTGATATGTTTACCTAATTAATTATCAAGACTTTTCTCAGGCACATATAATCAAAGACATATACTTTCTTAGATGAAATAGCAGATTGAAGAGCTAAATCTCTAATTAAATATAACTTAAAAGTATTACGCTTTTTTTTTTTTTTTGTAAATTTTGATACCCTTTAGATCAAAATTGCTCTTTATTTCATAAATTATGGTTTCATATTTTTAATTGTATAATTTCTGCATGCCATCTTACCAGATTTAAATTGATGATCTATAATATGGAAAAACCCCTAATCCGGAATCGCCAAAGTCCCGACGAGTCCGGATTACAGACTTTGTACTGTTAATAACCATGTAAAATAACACGAACAAGAAGTCCTTAAGTATTTTACAATATCAACCCAGGATGAAATCAGATTATACCACCAGCATGAAACAAAATTATTTAAAACATGAAATCACATAATTATAAATATGCCATAATTTAACTGAAGCAATAAATAGAAAAAAAATTACTTAGTTTGGTATTAAATTTAAAAAGAAAAATTCTATGTACTATGACAAAACCTGATATAAGTCTCTGTTCTTCAACAGAATTATTTTACTGATGAAAGTGTTACTAGATTTTGTTTTTATTTTTTATTCACGACTCTCTAAAACATTTCGCATAACAAAAGATCAGAAAATCGATTTCAAAAAATAAATTGTAATATTCCCTTTAAACATAAAAGAATATTAGCTCTTTGGCTTAAAAAAAAATTAAATTCACTAACTATATTATACCAAATACAAGACAAAATTTCCCTTTGCAATTAAAAATAAAGGTTTTATTATTCATGTACGAGGGTTGCTATATATATTTTGACCCTAATAATTGAAAAACAAATGTTTATGACTAAAATTGATTTTACCGTTTTTCAAAATATTGTCCATGAAGATCAATATACAATTGCATGCATATGAACCAATGTTCAAAGCATTTTTTCCACTCGGATTGAGGTAAAACACGTTTTGAATGTATCAACTGCTTCTTCGGGTGTCGCAAAATCACTGGCCACCTAATTTATTTTTGATGTGCAGGAATTGAAAAAAAGTCATTGGGTGCCAAACCAGGGCTGTATGGCAGATGGCCTATCAATTTGATTTTTGGCTCTTCAAAATTTCCTTTGCTTGAGCCCATGTGTGAGAGGTCGCACTGTCATGATGAAGAATGATTTGCCTCTTCTGTTATTTTTTGAATTTCTCTGATGATTTCTGACAAACAAATGGCCATGTACCACTTGGAATTAACTGTCCTGCATTGCTCTAATGCCACTGTCACCACGTGACTGGTAATGTAAAAAAAAAAAAAAAACAGGCAACTATTTGCTTCGATGTGCTTCTTCCACGAAAAACATTTGTTGGATTTGGCTCATCTTGGAAGACGCATTCAGTCGATTGCTGTTTTATTTTAGGCTCGATCAGGTTATGCAGAGATCCATGATTCATCACCTATGTAGATGTTATACACAGCCTTCGATGCAGATTATGCGGCATCAAACGCGAACAAATCTTTTTTACGGTGAAATGTTTCATATAACATCTTATTGATGCTCGTCATGCTAAGGCCCAAAAGATGCCTCAATCTTACAGTATGTCATATGATGATCTTGCTTTATCAGTTCACACACAGCATTGATATTTTTTGGCACAACATCTGATTTTGGACAACCTTCAAGGAATTTGTCCTGGAGCAAACATCGACCATAACCGAATTTGTCATACCAGTTTTTTTACAGTGCCATTGGATCTATCTTTATTGTTGCATAAAGAATTAAGTTCAGCGAAGCCCTCTTGTCTTGATAATCCACATTAAATGTTATGAAAAATAATCGAACGAAAATGTTCATGAGTTAATTCAATTTTTTGGCCGAAATGAATTTTTCTATTTACTGTAAACAATATAAATCCCGCTAAAATGGCAAGACTTTCTGAAGAGGTTATGATTTAAAATATCAAACTTTTGATTGGAATCATCTGTGGTCACCTAGCAAAGGGCAGAAATATAAATAGCGACCTCTGTACTACATATTTTTACTTACATTTCCTTTCCCAACATTTGATTATACATTAAGTTATTATGTTCCCTGCATGCTACTGTAGCACTGCATTTCTGGAAATGTTTTAGTTGCTATTTCTCATTTTCGTATGAATTACGAGAGAAGGAGAACAGAAATGAAAAGATTAGTTTGATGTGGAATATGTGAAAAAAAATTTATTTTGGTTATATATATTTGTACTAATATAGGACAATATACATTCTTATGCATAATCTGGAGAAATTAATATAACAGGTAAAGCACTTATTAATATTAGAAAATATGATTTAAAATTTGTTAAATATTACTATGTTTCATTTCCACTTCAAGAAAGAGAACTAACTAACCTCGCTCTTCTACACGTTTAAAAAGTTGATGTTCTCCCCATTTCAAAACTGCTTGCAAAACTTCTAGTTCACCAGCCTAAGGTAAATAATATACAACATGCAATAAACAATGCATTATAATACCATATTTTTATCTGACATGTACAACAATACAGATTTTTGCTATTTATAATTGGTTAATAACTAGTGAATGCAATTAAAAATATTAATCAGTTTACTTAAATGTTTATTCTATATATATGATTCCTTAGTCATAAAATTCAAAACCACATTTTACAATAAATGCATAAGATTTAAATCTACTAAAAATGCCACTATTAATTAATGTAATAACATATGATTCTTCCCCAACAAATTATGGTGTTTAATTTGTTCTTTATGAAAGAACAATACTTTCTAACAGTGAATTAGTACATTTACGGAATATTAACAAGTCACCATTAATTTCATTTTAGAAATGAGAGCTTCAGTTTAACTTCTTTGTTAAACATGCATTTTTCCACAGAACTTCAAAAATTTGCTTTTTAAGGACTTTTGAACTATACTGCTTTTCCTTTATATCTCATTATATTCTCTCATCAAAAATTCCATTGGAAATATTAGTGCTGTATTTTGATAAGGCCTTTATTGACAGTTATTATGAGTTAACATGATATCAATTAGTTTTATATCTAATTATATTTATCTAATATTTATACGACTTATATATATTTATATGACTATTTGTTTCATTATGAATAGTTCAATTTAAATTACAACAAATAATTCAATTAATTAAATGATTTTTTTAAAATAAACACTTAATTGATCAAATTTTACATTTAAATCTTCAGAATGTCTTAAGAGAAGCAAAAATTTTTTACCGAAATAATTTATATACGATTCTAAAAATACAAGTTTTAAAGAGGGTACTTGGATCCTTCATCATAGAAATAAATTTCACTTAACAAGGAATATATTTGTTAAAAAAAAACTTTTTTAATTAATATACTATTTTAATAAAAGTGTTAGATAATAATAGTATTATAATATTATTTTAATAATAGTATATTAATATACTATTTTGCATTAAAAACCTAGTACTTTCTAATGACTCACACCCCCGTACAAATTTCCTAAGAACTAGTAAAAATGTTTATTTGCCTATTTCTATAACTCATGGATTGTTATATTCATAAATAATAAAAAAAAAAAAAAAAGAAGCATTTTGTGAGAAATCAGAAATTTTCTAAGAGAAAACGGAATTCTACAAAGCAAATAATTACATTTTTCAGCTAATGTTTATTTGTTCCATGAAATGACACTCACATATAAGCATATACATCCTATGTACTCATACATGAATGTGGTATATGTATGTCATGTGTATGCTCGAAAATATGTCAAAGCTCTAATGGAACTGAGAATCTGGATAATCTGAAAGTCCCAAAAACATCTATACATAAGTTCATATAAATGTATTATTTTTTAATTTTATTTTATCCACTACTTCGATATACTCACAAACATGTGAAAGCACTAAACCAAAATTTATTTTACATTCACACACTCTTTTATTAAAATAAGTTGCCAATGTTATAGTTTGACCACTGCATTAGCAATAGTTAAAGGATAGAATTCTGCCAAAACAGAGTTGTCCAGGAAGGGTGATAAACACATAACCACTATTGAGGGGTGATGTAAGAGTCAGAATTTACTAACAAGAGCAGTCACTCTGCCATTAGATTTCTTTCATGCATCTGTCTGATATAGACAGAAATAAATACTAAGATTCATATTCATTTACAGTTCAGGGGATCAAAACAGTTGAAAATTTTTTTCATAATTTATGTGGATGTTATACGAACAATACATATATATTTTATCACATTGTTTAAAAATAATACCCACTTACAATCATGCAACTGCATTGTTTGGTAGAAATATTCTTTTTGTAATAATTATTCATTATATTATAATTGTTACAATGTAACAATTAATTAAATATAATAATAAATTCATAAAAATTATATAATAATATTATTAATATAATAATTTAACTATAATAAATAATGCATTTTTTTCAAATAAATGTTCAGTGGTACTCCCAGCTGACTTGAGGAAATCAACATTTTATAACTCAAATCATAAAAAATTTACGAACAAAATTTTTTATGCATTACCTCCCATATTACACAATTTACAATAATTTTGAAATTGTCAATGAAGTGTCTTCCTAATTCCTCTGCTTGAGTTTTATGTCTATTATTAGTTGTAAACCTTTCAAAACCCATCAAAGCCTTAAATACACTCAAAGGAGACACAAAGAATGCATTAAAGAATTACACAAATAATTCAAAATGTGTTTTTATCAGTCTAGCAGAAATACCAACATTTAAAATTTTACTTTCTTTAGTTAGAGTCATAAAATTATTTAGGAGTATAAATATTTCTGTATCTCCCCCCAACCCCCCCTAAAATAATAATTATTTAGCATAATACAAAAATAGTTCATTATACTTCATTATAAAACTATGCATATGTAACAAAATTAATTTTGAAAACATTCATATTTTACTAACGTATACATAAATATGCAGAACAATTAATTACAAAGCATGATTTACACAACCAGCATATAAAATTATTAAAAAGTAATTTTCCTCCTTCCTTAACTTTGCATTCTTTGAACATTGTGTGAAATAAACAAGAGGAGGAAAACCTCCTTATACGTAATGCATTTCTATCCAGCATATTTCACAAACAAATTTGCCCAAATCACAAAGGTTCTATTGTGATCAAACTACAGTAGCCAATATTATGATTTTTAATAAATAAAGATGAATATTAAATTTGAATACAGGAAGGTAATCTAGAAATATCTCAGGAAGATATCTAAAAATGCTTTCCATAGACAGTTTTATTACAGACATTCTTCATTCATACACTGCTGTCCATTTGAAATGTAACATGAAGAAGGAAAAGAGATATCAAAGTCAAATTTATTTTTGAGATTACACATAGTATCAATGTTAAATGACTTGAAATACAGCCTTCTTTGATATCAGGAAGGTGAGAAAACCAGTAATGAGTGTTGCCTCTATGTTTGTCAATAGCTGTTGCTACAGCCATGACAATGAGTGAAAAAGGCTTTGGATGCATTGTTGGGGAATGGGAGTTCATGCTACCTCCACACGCAGGCAAAGTTTATCAGTGTGAGTGGCAGCATGCAGGGCTAGGCATTTTCCAATCACTGACCAGACAACCTCAATGGGCGACAGATCTTGAGAATGGGCTGGCCAGGGTAACAATGCAATATGGTGGGCTAAGAAGAAAACTCCAACACTGCATGCAACATGTCATTGTGCACTGTCCTCCTGAAATGTGATTGCAGGCAAGTCCTGAATGTAAGGAAGGAGAAAAGGCTGCAAAACCTTTAGAGAGATAGCATTGGCTCTTAAGTATACTGATAATGCCTACTAGGGGTGCAGAAGAGGAATCCAATACTACCCTTCACTATAACACCAGCTGCAGGACCAGTTTGATGATGCACAGCACAATAATTGAGCAGCCTCTCTCCAGCATATAAAACCAGCAAACTCTAACTGGAGCAACAGAGTAATGCAGGCTGAAGCGAGATTTGTCCAAAAACACAATATCATACAACTCAGATGTCCGTCTTTGCCATTCAATGCATCACTGCCTATGCAAATACTTTTGGTTTACTGGTACATGAAGCAATGGACAACTAACGGACAGCCCATTGTATTGCAAAAGACATCAAATTATTCATGCAGACACTGACTACTGTGTTACAGACTGCATTCGTTGTGATATGATTCTGAATGTGGCAGTGTGCTCCATCAGTGCCATGCACACAATATGCCTGTCTTCTGATGAAGCGGTAGGAAGAGGCAGTTGCAATTGCTCCTGTCTGTCAGTCATTCCCTCTTTCACGTACTGATTTCAAATAAGCATGACTGTTGTTAGGCTATGTCTGATACGATGATCGGTTTCCTGAAAGGATATACCACAATCTATATATCCGTATACAAAGATTCTACCTTAGCCAAACTCAGAAATATGCTTGAATGACGCTTGTGTTTTTCTATGAAACATACTGAAGCTGCAAACACAAGAAATCTCACGACAGAATAATTCACGTTATTCAAAATGGCAATCTTTCCTCTCTTTATATATGGATTGTAAGAAGCAATGTAGTCACCCATGGTGTGAGTGTGTTCTCAAATTGTAATCATTTACATGTTCCATTGCACTATACACATGATGGAAGTTTCATGCTGTTTTGATGCTTCCTTCATGCCTGCCGTAGCATTTGGGATAGCCAACAGTTTACACTGTACATCAAAATACCAGAAGGAAAAAAAAAAAAATAAATAAAATAAAAACATATACAGTACTTATATATGTGCGTATGTGATGATGATCAAGAATAAATGACACAATGGAGAACATGATTCATGGAGTGACAGTGTCTGTTCTTGAAGAACTGCATTGGTACTGTTTACAGTTCTGAAATATGTGTAAAGCTGTAAATGACAGAGCTAGCTAGGAAGAGAATGATGGGTCTCAGATGCATCAGACAGCCAATGTGATGCACCTAAAATGAAAGTTTGGTAAAGAGTAATTTGAGGTTTGGTTTACAATGTGTTAATTTTGGTTTGTTTTATCTTGTTAATATTTAAGCTTCTAAACTTATTATTGGCTGAAAGCTTATATAAGTTATCTGTGTCATGAGTTTTATCTAAGAAACATATGGCATGCATTAATTTTGAAACAATATAATTTAGAGAGGTTTATTTTAAGTGGTTACAATTTCTAGGACAGAAAGAGAAAATAACCAAACTAAAATAGAGATTTAAGGGATTACTGCAATTACAGTTATAATTTTGATTTAATTTTTTTTATCTTACACACACATATATAAAGAAGATAATAAAAGAAACATTCCTAAAAGCACATATACCCTTTTATTTTGTGCATTTGAAAAAGTTAAAGCACTTAATGGTAAACTAATTAAAATTACCTGTAAAAAATCAGATTTTATGACATCAATTAAATGAGATTTATCCAGTTGAAACAAAATTGGTGCAGAAGCTACAGTCATGAACTCTTCACGAATAAAATGTATAGCTTGCCGATAGACCCACTGAGAACCGTGAGGCTGGCTGCTCCAACGCAAAACTGGTAACAGACTTTCCAAGCTTAATGATTCCACAATGAAATCTTCACAGCCTGAAAAATAATTAAAAAAATTACTTATCTATCAACTAATAAAGTTCTGTTTAACAACAGAAGTAATAATGTTAATAACAAAAAATATAAGAATGTAAATAATGCACTGCAACATATTTATTACACTTATAATATGTTTTTACAATTCTCCAAGCTGTTCAAAATTCAATCTACTTGCAGCAGTGCAAGCATTGCAACACTTGATTAGTTATGTAGTCTCAAGAACTCTTGTAATGAAGGTAGTGTCAGAAGTTATGCTGTTCACAAGCATAAAAACTTCCAAGGTAATGCCAGAAGGAAAAAATTAATTGGGACTAGTTGGATGACTGGCTGAATTATGTTGTCTGTCCAGTCCCTTAAGACATGTAGTTTTTGACATATTCCTACATATCCAAACTGAAGTTTATGGGAACCTGTTTAACTGAAACAACATTCCAACATGCAGATGTGAGAACATCATGCAACAGCTCCAGCAAGATTTCCTTCAGGAATATCTAATAACTATACTTGTTTAACTGTGATGAAATAACATATAATCTAAGCAAACAATTTCCAGTAATGTTTACTCAATCATCTATGGCAAGTGCAGATTAGTGGTAGACAGCACATTATGAAGGTTAACAATATCTCACATATGAAGGTAGTTTCATCAGTGAAAAAATTCTAGCTGTAAAACACATCTTTGTAAAAAGCAACTCTCTAATTCAACAAAATAGGAATAATCTCATTGACTAAACTGATTGCATGTGAAAAGGATGCATGCCCTCCTTGTATAAAACTCACTACACACTGACATTTTATTCCTATGAAGTACACAAATGTACTTTAATAGCTCATATATTTGCATGGAGATGCAATTCAGTTTAATGCATGACCACGTCTTTTAAACCAGGGTATACACAATTTGGCCCCAACCACATGTTTCATATCATATTTAATAACCCAGTTTAAAACAATATTCAAGGCAAATTTACAAAAAATTAGAAGAGAGATCACATCTATATGGGAACCATTCAAAATACATTCTCATCATGATTCATCAGCTTCCATCTGCTGGACAAAGTACATGTCAGCCATTTCAGTATTACTGTCATGATACATCCTGCTTTTTTCAATTTATTATTGCCTCAAATGATGATGTGTCAAATTGAAAAATTTGAATTTCTGGCAAATGATGTCATTTTTTAGTACACATGAGTGACATTTCAGCTATATATTCCAATGTAAAACACGGTTTATTTTCATATTCCTGATCAAGCTTTAAAGTTTATCAAAGACTTTTTTAATCACCTTGCCTACAGTATTAGAAAATTAATCTTAAGTATTTTAGAAGTTCACATAATAATTCTATTCTGCTAACTGAAAGCTTATTGCAATCTTTCTTGAGTTAGCATTATTAAATAAATTTTACAGTTCTACCAGAAATATAAACTTAAAACATAAAACTTTATAATTAAATCAAAATAGCACCAAAATTTTTCAGATAATATTTCATGATGATCAAAAGTTATGTTTTAAAGTCAAACTTACAAAAATTAACAGAAGTATAATTTTGTACTAATAAAACTGGAAAAAAAAAAAAAAAAATTAAACTCTAGATATTATAGTAAAATATTATATAATGTATTACTACAGCACGTTCTGCATGAAAGACATTTTTTAAACCTGCTTTATCCAAAGAAGATCTGATATTATCTGAACTTATGAAAGAGAAAACAATTACCTCTGGCATAATGAATGTCCTGAATAATGAACATACATATGACCCACAAAGGCCTCACACTGTGAACCATGTGTTAATTTTGTCACCACTAAATGCGAAGCTGCTTAGAGATAAGAAATTAGTGGCTATAGATTTGAAAAAGACTACAGTTTCACTTATCTGAGAGCAGAGATAACTGTAAAAAACAGATAGCTTCCGAAATACTTAAAAGAATCTCTGCTGCAAATAGATGTTTTCATAGCTTGAAGAGTTATTTAAAAAACAGCTTTCTCAAGTTAAGAACTAAAGTACTTCTATACAAGAATCTTATAGGATCTAGTCTGACTTATGCATCAGAAGCTTAAGCACTGACTTTACTTGATGAGGAAACTTCGGGAATTTTTGAGAAAAGGACATTGCATTGCATGGTTGGTGGGTTCTGTGTGAATGGATTGTGGAGATCTAATTTAGAGCTATACAGGATCTATAGGCATCTGATGTAGCAAAATTTTTCAAACTACAGGGCTGATCTCTGGCCAGAATGCAATCAGTTTTTAAGAAAATCTTTCTGGCTAAGCCCATGGAAGCCAGACTTGGGGTAGACCCCTTGGCGAGATAAAATAATTGTATTGAAAATGATCTAAACATTCTAACAAACAAAACCGGAAAAAGTTGCCCAAACGTTGAGGTGTCTGGAGAAGGCCCTGTGCTGGCAAGCCAATGAAGAAGAAGAGAAATTTGAAAATGAATTGATTTTACTTTCTGTTTTAAAAAGGCATAAGTACACAAATAATATGTACTTAAGCATGCCTATGCACATTTCCTAAAATTACATTTTTATTGAATAAATACAAATCTTCATTTACTAGGATAGCAGATAAAAGTTTCTTCTGATGAAGGGAAGGAGAACATAACAGGTCCATTCCAAATGCAGCCAACAATAATCTTCTGAACTGGAAATTAAACATATTTCACATTTCTCAGAACAAAATTTTATTCAGTTGGAAGTGGGAAGAGAACAGAATACAGTTAAGCAACACATTCCAACAAACTGAGATGAGCAGAATCAAGACCATCTTAAAGAGAAGGAAATTTATTTCAGACAACTTGTTGAAATCTGAACCTTTCATAAAATCTAAAGACACATGAGTAAGAAAGTAAAGGACAACTGAATCTTTCATCACCAGTGGGACACTGAAAAGACTGAACTAAAAATTTGACACTGTGCAGTATTTTGAGAACTATCTCTTTTTCTGTTGGCATAACAGCCTGGAGAAGAGACAGCCGTTCTTTAGAGGCCTCTACCATTTCCTTCTCCATTAGCCAGAGTTTTCCAGTTGGTAATTTTAATAAAGCAAAAGAGACTATTTATACAGTCCAAAGATCTAAGACTGAGCCTTCTTCTCATCCCTTTTCCCATTGGTTTAAAGTTTAAAATTTTAAAAGTTCAATTTGGCAAACTGGGCCAACAAATTCATGCAATTAATTATAATGTATTTGATAATATTTTTTTAATATTATCTATATAATTCATTGTTATATTTATGTTGCCACAAGTCACAGCAAAAAAGATTTTTTTAAGTTTATCTTTCATAAACAGCTAAATAAATTTCTCGTACTTTACTGAAGTCATACATAGATCTTAGCTCTAAAAGTTTACTTCACAGCAAGATAAACAAAACTGTTCAATAATTCAAATTTATAATTTTCTATTTCTACGTAATAAAGATTTTTTGTTTTTCTCATACTTGGCATATATTTGTTTTGTTTTCATTGGCATTTAAGTGCATTTTAGTAGCCATTTTCTCCAAGGCAAAAAAGGCCTTTGATACTACTCCCTTTGTACGTGCAATTATGATATCGAATTATTATTTGTGAAAATAGTTCCTTTAGTACTAATACTTGAATCTTGAACCATACATTCTAATGTCAAATTTCAATGACAAAGAAACAAAGGCATCATCTTGCCTATTTTATAACTGAAGTTTTTAGTACATCCAACACTAACAGTGTTTCAAATATATTCTGAAAATTTTTTAGGTTTCACTATCCTAGATTATGCTCAGGAATAGATTACAATTATCCTCATACGAACCTACTGAAAACTCTCTCACGTAATGAACATCATAACAGGATAGATTATGTTCATTGCAAAATACACCACTGTACCTTAATTACAACTTATGTGCCAAGCTGAGACAATACATGCAAGTAAAATTTCATACAGACATAGCTCCATAAAAATATGATGAAAAAATCTACACTTTTAATGAATGACTGCTTCACATAATTATTACATATAACTGCTCAATAATTAATTTCATAGTCATGGTTTGCATTTAACTATTTAATTACATGAAAATCTCACTTTAAGTGTGTATGTAGAAATTATAACACAAACTTAAGTAAAAAGGATCAGAAACTTAACAGGGTTCATAGCCACATTTTAGTTAAAAAAATAAGCACCTATAAGCACTTTTTAAGCACATTTTAAGAAAAAAATAAGCACCTGCCTAATTACATCATACACAACTGCATAACCTTAAAACTTGTCATTTAAAATATGAGAAATGAAGTACTTATTAAGAGAGAATAAGCATTACCTCAACCATGGAAAATAATTACTTTTTTTTTTTTTTTTTAATTTAAATAATAGTTCAATTTACAGAAACTAGTTTACAATGAGAGAAAAAAAAAAACTATAAGAACTAAACTATATTACAAGATTTAATGATGAATTCAGTTCAAAATAGAGAAAATAAATAATAATAAGGCATATTTATTGTATTCGCTTGGAACCTAATAATAAATACAATTTATTTTTCCACTCATATTGATATTTAAATAATTTAAATCTAAATTCTGAACATTTTCTAAATTTTCCATTGTATATCAGTTTTCTCTTAACAGATATTGCAAGCAAGGTAATTTAAGTAAAAAAGAGGAACATTTCTGAAATCAGAAGACAGAAATTTGCTTCATGCAGTCATCTCTAACAGTAAAAGCTTAACTAACCCGCATACTTGGAAATTGGCGAATATTCGGACAGTCGAGCGTAACTTGAAGGAGCGGAGGGGGGGGGGGGGTAGACTGAAGCCGCTCTTTAGACTTTTCCGCTAAATAAATGCTTTTGACATTTCAATATGTGCATCATATAAAAATAAACCAACCGAACTAAAAAATATTCCGCTTAGAAAGCACAGTAAAACTCTTTTAAGTGCTCATAAACAAATCTCGGACTGAACATCAAAATGAATTATCTCTGCAAAATATTGCAAACGTTATTGCGCTATACATGCTCCGTAATTCTTCCCTACGTGATATTACGCAATCGGAATCAACAACTGCTGGTATTGGGAGAAAAAAGAACTAAATAACTGGAGTGTTTTTCATTCTAATTTTCAACAGATGGCGTTAGATTTCCGGAATAGAATCATTCTTCGCTTGGGTTGATAGACCGCAGAACTTTTAGTTCTACTCAATCCAGATTGGAAAGTGACCCCCCCTCCTCCCAAAAAAAGGTTCGTTGCTTGTTTTGCAGCGAACTGTAACAGTTTCAATATTCAAGATTTTGCGGAAAAGGGGAGACCTCCCAACCTTCGTACTGTATAATGTATTGGCTAAAAAAATGAAACTATTTTGACTATTCGATTACTTTCCCTTTATTTACGCCATTTCGAATATTATTCCTTAGAAAGCTAATCTGTGTTGAAACACAACCATTTTTGGAAGTTTACTATACTTCAGCAGTTACTCCAACTATGTTATTATAAACATTCATACATATGCTCATAATATAAGCATAACGATCAAAATAAACACGAATATGAACTGAACAAGCAGAACGAGAATGCAAATCTTTTTAAGATCTTGATAGAAATTCAAACGTGTATAGTATTTGGGTGGGAGGAAAAGAATGCCGAATGTAGCGGAATTTTCTACTGCTTTCGCAATTCTTTGACCAATAGAACAACGGGCACCTGTCTACTCTTCGTGCACACCAAAGGTTATGTTAAGGCAGAGAACAGGGGAAAAGCTATTTTGGGAGTATGACTCACCATCTGACATTCCATATTAGGAAGAAAAGTTGTTTATTTAGTTTCGGCTTTGGTACAGGAAAAAATAGCGCGTTCATTAAAAAAAAAAAAAAAAAAGCACTAAAAGCAAAAAATAAGCACTAAAAACAAAAAAATAAGGGCTTTAAAGAAAAAGTAAGCACCTATAAGAGCCTTTATATTTTAATTTCAAATATAAGGACTTATAAGGACTGCTACGAACCCTGTTTAATCTAAGGCTAACAATAATTCCATGCAGTAAATTTTCAATTTTTCATATTTGTCTATAAAGCTGCTATTGAAATAGTCTGCTGTTACACCAGGAATTATTTTAAATGGTGATAAATTTTCAGATATCTAGTCTGAAGATAATTTTAAAGTTTATTAAAGTCCCACAACAATAATAATGTATTACTTTCTACTTTCACACTTAAAAGTGAGTGGAAATGAAATTATGAGGTTTAAATGAACCAAAATTATTGGGAGGCATTTAATACTTTCTCATTAATTTCACTAAGTGAATGATAACAAAAATGCAAAATATGTTATAGAAAATGAAAAAAAAAAGGGGGGGAGAAGCATCTTTATTAGTATTTTCTCAGTTTCTTCAACTGAAAAGGGATATAAACAAAATTAATTCATACACATTACTGCAACAACATGAGAGAAATAATTATTTTTAATGAACATATGCAAGAAATTTTATGTTAATTAACTAGTTATTTATAATTTCAGCTTTTACTATAACTTCTCCTTTCCATATTCCTAACTAGAATGCAAATGAGTAGTGTGTATATAAATTGAAGTTTTGGGATTTTAAGACAGTGCGTGTTTCTGTGCATGCCTACTGTATATTAGTTTAGCCTTGCATTCCACCGCTGCCAACACTGATGCTCCAGTACAGAAGTGGGCCAGCTTCTAAAATAATAAATTGTGTGCCGTTTCATGTTTAACTTAAATTTGACAGTTCTATTTACTTGTATCACCACAAGTTTTAGTTTATTATAGCTCAAGAGTATGCAGGAAATACTTATTTCAGGGTCTCTCTTGGTACAAATTCGTGACTTCTCTGGTGCCATTCATGTTTACGTGCAATGCCTTCCCAAGAAAAATGGTATCCAAAACACAATTAAAACATAACAAAATTATAAGCTCAGTAAACTGCATTTTAAATCAAAATAAAACAACATAAAAATGGAAATACATGCTATCTAATCTGCATAGCACAAAAAGGAAATATTGACTTATCTTATTTAGAAATCTGTATCTTTGGTGCAATGAGACACAGAATTCCTTAACAGCATTCAAAAACTATTTAGAATTATCTGAACTAGAATCTGCACAGTGCCATATAAATTCACAAAAGTAAGAATAAAAAATATGCTCCACAGTGGTGAACTGGTGGTGGCATTTCTTTCAAACCCCCCCCCCACATACACATACCTTTGATAGTGTTGATAAGAGCTCTGGTTTCCGAATCTTTAAATGTCACTGCGTAATTTACTGAGAGGTGAATGAAGCCATTAACAGAAAGACAATCATATGACTTCCAACAATTGGATATGATCGTTGTTCCAGGTAAGATTTGCCACTGTATTACAATTAAACTTCCATTTACACATTAATCAATCAATGCTTTCTTTTCCATTCGTTCCAAATCGTACACAAACTTCAGGTTAATCCTATCACCAGCAGCCATTTAATGGAGTAAAGCACAAAATAAGCAATGTACTTCCTAACCAACATGCGACACAGAAATAAGTCCTGAGCAATATTTTCCCAACAATCAGTGATCATGCATTACAACCAATCACGTCATGATAGAGTTTACTAAACATACATCGTAAAATACTCAGGTTAATATAACTAAAAAAACAGCTTGGCAATAATCCAAGGGGTACCCCAAAATATAGGCTACCTGAGCAAGCTTTTGTGTTCTAAATTCTGTTTGAATAAAAAGGTGGCTCTACTCTTATATATGCCTTAAGATCACCAAATGTGGCGATATGTGTTCTGCGCTGGTTTTTGGCACGATGGTTTTAGGGATGATGTTGTTTGTATGGCAACTCTTTTGACATTGAAACTTAACTCTTTTGCTACAGTGGTTTAATTGCTCGTTGGTTCATGTCATGCGTGTTTTGAAATAGCCTATGTTGCAATGAGAGGACGTGATGGCAAGATTTCAGTCGCGTATTTTAGATTGTGATCAAAGTAAAATCCTAAAGGTTTTGAACATTTATTTGTGAACCATAGCATCAATTTTGCAGATAGCGAGTCTGGCTGTCATATAAATATCATAGAGAGTACATGGCTGCATGTTAAAACTACGTTCTGCTGTCCAAAGAAGCATCCATTATGGTGTAAGTGCATTTTATTTTATTGTTTTTATTTTGTAGAATGTTTGTTCATTGTCTTTTAACTATGAATTTCTGTTCTTATTGCTGTTTTTTGAATTGTTTATAATTTATTTTAGTTTATTTTGTTGATTTGTGTGCAGTGCCTAGATTGTGCAATTTGTAGATTTTTTTAAAGTTTAAAAAGAATGATGTGTACATGGTATTCTTTGAAATTTATTGTTGTTATGTTAATTTATCAAAGCGAGATATGTGTAGTTCGTGGATTCTTTCGCAGCCTAGATTGCGCAATTCATAGATATTTTTTCAAGTTAAAACATATCGCTGTGTACATGGATTTTTGTCAAATATGTTTGGTTACGTTTTTGCTATCTAAATTTTTCTGTTTTTGTTTCGGATTTTTAGCTTAACTTGTGTGTTCAAACCGTGGTTCTTGCATGCGCGAAAACTGCGTTTTTGGAGACATTTTAGGCTTAAAGTTCGAAATGTAGAAAAAAATTTAGATAGTAATATGGCACCGTGGAGTGGCGAGAAATTTGTTGCAAAACGAGGACATATATAAGGGTAGTTCCAGAAAGGTTATTTTTTACCTTCTCAGGATTTTGGTATCATTTCAAACATAGTGATAATTCGCTTCACATCTATTAAGGTTATTGGATTAATTAACTTTTCCAGGTCAAGGAAAACTCTACACATATTTGCCAAAGTCTGCTACTAAAAAATGAAAATTCTACAATAATGATTTAAATAATCTGATTCAACTGCACTTGATGTTTACTTCAAACTTGGCAAAAAGAAACTATTTTGCTATCTATAAAAGAATTTAATTTCATTTGATAGTACATAATTATTTTTAAATTAAGTAACTATAATTAGAAGACTTCTATGAGAAAGTAGAGTAACTTAACCAAAAGGTTGATATTTTATTCCTTTTTGTAAAAGTTCAGTGCAATTATTTAAAAATTAAAAAAAGGAGTATTAAATAAATAAACAACTATGATTATACATATGTAATTAAAATCATACCAAAATCGAAGCAAATTCAAATATTACATTCAATTTGGGAAAATAAAAAAACTTAACTCAAATTTATAAAAATAGCAAAAAATTGGAAGGAATTATACATTTTTTTAAAATGTGACAATTTATTAGAATTTTAAAATAAATACAAACAAGAGCAACTCCAAAATTACCAGATAAAATAAAGCTAAGTTTGAAAAAGCTCTTTGAATTTCATTTCACAGAGCTATGGTTTATCTGGTAATTTTAAAACTACACTGTTTGTTTCTAAATTTAAATTTCACAATACTAAAAAAAAAAAAAAAAAAAAAAAAAAAAAAAAAAGATAAATAACTCAAATTTTCAATAAATTTTAATGTTTAAATTGACAATATAATAATACTAATTTAAAAATTTCATGAAAATTAATAAAGTAGGGCAGTTTTTTTTAATTGCTATACACCAATAACAGTAAAGAATGAAAAGATAATAAATAATTATTTTTACTTTGAACTAGTGCATCCATTTCGATGAAACGCGCAACTTCAAATAATTGCATAGCTTCTTCTACAGATGACTGAGGAACATGCACATCAGTCATGCTTCCCCTTTTAGCACTATCAGGCAAAACTGCTCCAAATTCTAATGCATCTTGATAAACAGCTCTTAATAATATACATGCGTAGCGGCGAGGTATAATGCTATCATCAAGCAAAATACGAGTTCTATGACTTTCGTGCATATCAGCGGAACGTCTCTGTTGTCTGTGGATGACATTGCGAAAAAATGGAGATCGAGCAGATAAAATAGCTCTGTGACACCAAAATTCATTTGTCCCATGGCAAATTTTACATGGTTTCCCTTCCGCATCAGTTAATATATGATCACAGATGTAGGCTGTCTGACCACGAATAACAGAATGGCCAGTATCACTTGGAGATGTAAAGCTTAAAGAAATATCACTGTAAATACCAGTTTCAAGTAAATATTTTAAATCCTGTTCGAGTGGATTTGGAATACCAAACTGTTCACTTAATTGATAAAGGATGTCAAAGTTTCCACTATAACTTTCTGCAACAGATAGTTCTCCGGTATATAAATATCTAAGTAGTTCATTAAACATAGATATACTAACACCAGCAATGTCTATATCGACAGCAACTTCTGTGCAGATAGATGATAAACTGTTGAGCATTTCACGAAAAAAAGGACACCTAGCTGCCAGTATTGCACGATGTACAGCAAACACCGTTCCCTGATAAATGAGATTAATATCAGAACAGTATTTGTTTTCAAATAATAAGCCCAAATCTTGTTTACATGAACTTGCTGCTGGACGTGCTAATTCTGCTTGAAGAGTGATTTCTTTCAATGCAGCAGTAGCTTCATACTCCTCCACAAGAGCAACAACATCTCGTGGACTCCAGTCAGCTATAAACTCTCGGAAAACTTGAGCATGGTCGAATCCCTTGCTCGTTCTCCGCCTTCGAGTGAAACGTTTACGGAGAGTGGACAATGATCCGACTTTTCTCTTTTTTTCCTTACCGTACTGATCAACATTTCCAGATGAAAAGCTTGTGCATACACTTTGGGCTTGAAGAGAAGATGCCATAGGCTCTGGTTGCGTGTTGCTGCAAGAAGCTGGCGATGAAGCACTTACCCCCATCTCTATCAAGCTGAGGATACACATATATTCCACAAAGAGTCCATTTTAAACAAACCTTTTAAGGAAAGAAAAAAATAATATTAAAACTCAAGGTATTTTATTTTTCAGCACATTCAAAATAATAGCATTTAAATGCTAAAACAATGTTTGAATAAAATTAAAAAATATCAAAGTTCACATGATTAGTTACATCACACGAGTAAAAAAAAAATTCTTCTGATGGTTGAAGATGTTACCTAATTTAAAACTAATTAACTTATACACATCTTGTTTTTAAATACTACAAATAAAGAAATTTATATTTTTATTTGAAATGACATTAATCTGAATAGAAAATACAAAAGAACAAATTTAACAATCCAGTTCACAACATTATATACAATAAAAAAACTTTCAAGAATATCCTTCTAACTGCATTATCAAACAGTATACCTTCCTGTTAGCAATTCAACTTTTTTCACACAAATGAGAACTGGCAGCCAACTGGCAAATCACTGGCAGCCCACTTTATTTGATATGCTTAAAGCCTTCAAAATTCTTTTATCTTAACTCAGTTACTATTTTTGCCGATCGATGGCGTTTCCTCCTCATGTTTGGTACTACCAGAGGGTATAAAAATCCGTTCAGTGGTTGCTTTCCATTATTCGAAGTTCAGATTTTGAGCGTGAAGGTGCTGTTGCCCCTCGCTCCTATTTTGAACTTCGCTAATTTTCTTATCCTTTGTGTTACTTGTTTGATCAGATAGCCGGGCTCAGTAAAAGTAGGCGGCCAGTGTAACTGATTAAAAATCCAGTTATAACCACGTGCAGTGCTGATAAGGACCAAGTGTTTCTGAGACTCCTTCCCCTTTATTTTTCTTCTTTCTAGGTATTTCTTTCTCCTGATGAGAAGGGACCTTTAGCTGCCCTCGAAATCGATTGAGTGTTTCAATATACTTACGCTAAATACAAGGTTGTTTTTACAATTTTGAATGAAACATTATATTTGAAATATTAAATGTACATGAATGATGCTAAAATGCTGTGAAACTTCGTTAAATTGAATGTCTTGAGTATTAACCCTGATAGTATGAGCATTAACTTCTATTTTATTTTATGAAAATTAAATGAGCTATTCTTATAACATGTGATGGAATTTAGAAATGTTTTACAGTGTGCAACTGCCATAAAATTTTATTCAAAAGTGTGGCAACAGGACATGATACATAAATTCCTATGTTAGATGATACACAAATTCCTAGGTTTTCTACTTTATTCTTGTAAGGAAATAATTCAAATATGTAAATATAATCATTATTACTAATAATACACTTTAAGATTAATTTTATTTTAATTGTAAACATTATGATTTTCTGCTTTTATTACACAAAAATAACATGCAAGAACCCAAATATTTTTATTACAAGCAGGATTTTCAGGAATTAACTTTGCATGTTAGATTGAATTGAAAAATGCGCTCAGGTACAGAGTATTTTCATCGCTCCAAGGTCAGGGGCCCACTGGGAAATTCTTTCTCCCAGTGCCAGAAAAGAAAAACAAAGCTAATACTGAATATAGTATACTGTAAAAAAATACAGTACACATGCTTCTAAAAAATTCATTAATATATTTACACAGTATGTAAACACCCATTAAATTAACACTAATCACTCACCATTGGATATTGAAGCTGTGCAGTAAAAAATTAATTCATTTCACCAAACATGAATTTGCAGATGTGGAGTGTAAAAGGCTTCTGCTGCATGACAACAATTAATATTCTTTTTTTCTTCCTGTTTAGAAATAACACTATATTAATTTGAATAATTAAAAAGACTATTCATTACCTATCATTAACTTAATATACATTAATTAACTTAATAAATATATAGACTATTCTTTAACTTAATATAGTGAAAAAGGCCTGCCTCCACAGAAAAAAAAAATTCAATATATACAAAGGATTTTTATTTGATTTTGATAGAAAAATGTGCTATATACATTATAGCAATGATCCAAAACAGATACAGAGCTTAGAAAAAATGAGGAATTTAAGAAAACTCCTTCAACAAATCCTTTCTCATAAAAAGTGCATAAACATTAATGAAATATACGAGTTACTGAAAACAGTGTCATGGTTTATATTATTCACCCACAATAGTTAATTCAGGAGAGATCCTTAAAAATCTAAACATTTTGATATGAAACCATTTAAATTTTAAAACGTATCAAGTATTTGAAAGTCTTTAAAAGATTGAATGCTCATTAGTTCTAAATTAGGGTCTAAGATCAGTTAGCATATTCCAATCACACAAAATAAACTGAAAATAAAAATGCATTTTAATCTACAGATAAAAACTGTTAATTTGATAACTAAAATTATAATAATTTTGTATATTTCCTTCTATATAAAGCATAATTTTGAAAATTTATATTATACATATTTCTCAAAATTTATGCTTACATATTTAAGTATTGAATTAATATGCAGATCCTTGCAAATTCTACAGTACAAAGTCCGTAATCCGGACTCGTTGGGACTTCGGCGATTCTGGATTATAGATCACCAATTTAAATCTGGTAAGATGGCATGCAGAAATTACACAATTAAAAATATGAAACCGTAATTTATGAAATAAAGAGCAATTATGATCTAAGGAGTATCAAAATTTACAAAAAAAAAAAAAAAAAAAAAAAAAAAAAAAGCTTAATATTTATTTGTTTACTTTAGTAAACATTTCTATCAATGTAAGTTGTTTAAGTTGCTTCATTTTTTGTGCTAATACTTTCTCTTTAATTCTCTCTTCTATAAACAGACATAATTTCTTGTTGAGTTACAAAGTTCCACTGTTCAAATCCTGTAATTGCTGTGTCAAGAATACCGACTAACTTGTCAATCGAAATTTTTTCGTTTTCAATAACCTCTCTGTAGCTTTCTTCTCTTTATGAAAGGGTGCATGTGTAAACGCTTTACTGGCTTTACGCGCATGCATAACGAACGCGCGCATTAAACGCGCATGCATAAACACTTTGCACACATGCGTCAACGCATTACACGCATGCGTAAGTTTGTGGCTTTGAGGTCCGGATTATAGATCATTCCGGATAATGAACATCTGAATTATGGACTCTATACTGTATTACTTTTCATGCATTACTATGAATAATTTTTTTACAGTGGATTAAAATAGGAAAAACATTTTATTCAGCAGGTGACTTGCTATAAAGGCTATGGAAAAATCTCGGATTTCATGGACTCAACAGACACACATAACAACGTGAAAATACAGAAATGAATTATTAAAACTGAAAACATAAATAAATTTTAATATTCTTTAATTTTGAAAACATAAACTGAAAAATAAAAATATATAATAACATGAAATAGAGTAAATCAACATACTTTTTACAACATGAGTTTGCTGAAGAATAACAGTTTGATCATGGTAGGCTTAAGCAGAACTTGAAACATTGTATTATATACAGGAATTTCATCTTGATAAGAATAGCAGGTGCTGAAAATGATTGAATAAATTATCCAAACTCAATATTATGAAGTTTAATTTTTTTTTTCATTTAAAAACTACCACTTTAAAACACAATTTATAAATACACTAAGTTAGAATTTGAATAATATTCAATTATATAATGTATTTTTGTTATGAGATAAAGAAACTAAATATAATTAAAAATACATTCAGCTGCATATAAAAGTAATTTATTAATACTAACAATTAAATCTTAATTTCTTACACTTTTATGATCATTTTTATCTAAATTTTTATTTCTACTAGAGAAAGAGAATTAATATATAATTAAAAATTTGAGAAATTTTTCTTTTAAATACATGCCAACACACTTCACAATTACAGAAATCTTTAAATGTAATTTCCCAGAACTACCATTTAAGAAGTTAATGTTAAAATTACTTCAATGGAGAAAAGGTAATCAATGGCCTAAGCTATTGCTATTGTTCTGGAGAGATGCAGAGGTTCTATAATATTGTTGTATGGGTACTTATGCATTATCACAATCACCTTGGCACAGCTTGGTGAATTTTACAGAAAGTACAAAAAGGTAAAATACGATTTTTACAATAAAGGTACTTTTTTCAAAAAGTACCTTTATTGTAAAAAAAAAAAGTTGTATATATCATGCATACATGTTTCAAATATGTATTTATTCCAAAAAACAATCAGTAAACTTGGTTACAAACAGGTTTTTGTTTTTGTTGTGGAAATTTCATAGCGACCACTTCAGGAAAGGATTTGAAGCACTGTTCATGAAGTGACTTTGCAGCAAAATAATGCATTCCTGCAGAAATTTCTCCTCTCTTTCTTCTACTGCATGAAAATCCTTTGAGCACAAATTTTTAAATCGAGATTAAGACAAACAATACTGATAATTTTTCTACAAAAGCCATTGGAACATAACAAAAAGAACACATAAGCAAATAGCAAGGTTGGAAATTGAATAGTCGCCATGTGCATAGTTGCCTGAATAATTATTAAGTGCCTGGTTACCAGAATTTAGCGTATTCTGAAAGTGTGGAAATTTTTACTATGGTGGTTGTGATAATAAGTAAGTACCATTGTATGTTTGTTCAGAAAAGGGCAGTGCCACAACATGTACTGTTGCCTTGGATAGTGGAATTTAGGGGGAGCAAAATTTTTAGAATTTAGAGAGGCAACAAGCAACAGAATTTAAGAACTTGTAGAAATAGCAGGTGTTGGCAAAATGCCTAGTACCAGCTTGTTATAAATTGTTCTATCATAATTATTACACTTGCTTTTTGTGCTACAGAATAATAAAATAAAAAATGTCATTAATGGTTTGTTAAAATACAGAAGGATTACCCCGAGAATTTCAGAAACTTTTCTTTCGACAGAAGTAATAAGCTGGGATAGAAATTTTGATAGCCCCAACATTGCAGTGTGCACAAAGAAGCTAACTGTGAATGGGAACTCTTGCACTTTTAAATTATTTTTACTTGTGATGTTATCATACTTCTTTTTATCTTTTACCTGTAAATACACATAGCAGGATATGAATAGAAGTTCATATTTGATTGTCTTTTATTATGATAACAACTGCTTTTATTGCAGCATCCAAAAAATTATGTGGTTTTTTTCAAATAGAAGTATGATTTCTTCTATTATTTTTCTACTGCTGATATGGAATGACCTTGATTAAAGCAGATGTTTAAATACAGTCTTTTCCGTTTATGCTGCATAATTCTAGTACCGTATATACTCGCATATAAGTCGATACCGCGTATAAGTCGACCCCCCACTTTGACATAAAATATTCGTAGAAAATAAGAAACCCGCGTATAAGTCGACCCCCCACTTCCGAAACCGATCGAGAAACTTCGAAATTTTTTTTTTAAGTACTACATTTATTCAAAATCATCTGAGAAAAAAAGTAAATATACGATAAAAAATACCTTGGTAAATAAATAAAATCAAAATCCTTCAACGTCTGATTCATGGTCAGATTCGCCAAACATTTCATAGAACTCTTCTGTCGTCATTTGCTCGTCATCATACATATTTTCAGTCTCGAACTCTGTATTGTTACAATCACTACTACAGCCTTCGTCGTCATTTTCACTTTTAAAAACAGCATCATCTTCCGTGCCGTCTAGTTCGTTGCTAATACAACATTTTTTAAATGATTTTATAATCATTCAGAGGGTATTTCGCAGGCATTCGCATTTTTCAGGGGCAAAAACATAAAAATTTCCAAAAGTGTCCACAATTTTGGCCACCACTGTAGTTCGTAACATAGTTTAAGTCATGAAATTACTTCAAGTAAGTGACTTATTTGATAAGTCGTCCAATTCGAGTGCGTGAAGAAAACAACTGCATTATACAAAGAAATTTTTGAACTTCCGATTCTTTTAATTTTTAATGGCCCCGCATATAAGTCGACCCCCTCCACTTTGAAGTCTTTTTTTTTGCACAAAATAACTCGACTTATACGCGGGTATATACGGTATGTGTTAAGACATATTTTTTTTTTCCCAATGTGATGCTAAGAAAGAAAAACACTTTTGTCATATTATGCTGTTTTATTTTAAAAAATGGAGAAAATGCTAGTCAGATTTTTCAAAAATTTGAGCTAAATATGGAAAAAGTGCTATTTTTAATGACACGATTTAACAGTGATTTGAGATATTTAAGATTGCAAATTTCAACATCAAAGATGACGGCAGCTTTGCATAACCATCCTTTGTTTAAACAAGGACCTAATGAAAGAAGATACCGCTCAAAATTTAAGTATAGTTTGGGAACTATCAGACAGAATAAATATTGCAAAAAGCATAGTATATGATCATTTGAAAAAGCGTGGATATGTAAGTTGCTAAAATGTATGCTTACCCACACCTTAATATATAGGAATATGCTTGCTCGAGTTTTGACAAGTGATTCTTTGATGAAAAAATATAGATCCTCCTTTTTTTAAATGATTCATTACTGGAGATATGAAATGGATTCAGAAATGTTACAAGAAAAAGATCAAGGGATTTAGTAACATCGAGAAGGGGGCTGCACCCAAAAAGGTAAAGCTTTGTTCATGGTGAGACTAAAAATGAACTGCAGACTATGAATTGTCACCAGATCACAGAATTAATTAAAAAAAAATATTGTCCCCAAATGTCAATTTCAATATAAGAAATAGAAGCAAAGCATCCAGAACTCATCAATCTTTGAGGTGCTGTCTTCCCTCACGGCAAAGCTTATCCCCACACTTCACTGAATGTTAGACAAAAAAACTTACTGAGTCTTCATGTCACTTCAAAATTCTTCAATAGCCTACAATAACCTTCTTCAGATACCTTTTGTCAAACAGTACATAGATAACTATTTTACAAATAAACAGAATGACTTTTTGGATGACTCAATATTTATCCCTATGGTTAAAAATTCAATTTATAATTAATCCTTAGCGCTCCACACGTTTTTGTACCACTGCCTACCAGCAACTCCGGCACATTTTTGCAGCAGAATGCAGCATCCAGAATATCTGCATAAACCTCTTTCTTGTAAATATTTTACTAAAGGGATGTGACTATTCTCCTTAACTGACCAATAATCTTGCATATTCGCCTTGAAATATTGTGTCAGTTGTATAATATTTTTAGGAATTTGTGGTCCAATGACCTTTGGCGAAACACTAAAATGTATTCTATCCGGAATATCTAATTCTTCCATGACATCGCGCCATTCATCTAAGTCTTCCGGCGACTCTTTGCTTCACTTTCAATAACTACCATTCGTCGTCTCCTTGGCAGTATAATTTCGGAACCACTACTTGAAGTGTCAGAATTATAATCAACATTGTCTTCCACAATATCTTCTAACAATGGAAAAATCAAACACATCTTCACTATCACTCAACTCTATATTTTCATCACAATAATTACTTTTCTCCATGTTGCTAACCATAAAATGGGTCAAATAAACGTTTCAATCGTAACAGTAGCGAGACTGAGCACATTTTAATACAGATAACAATTGCCAATGCCGACGATTCTGTAACATCTTAAGCCTAATCCTGCTGAAAACATTGGGCTCTGCAGCGGAGCTTATGGAGTTATGGAACAAATGACGGACGGCTCCATAGTGGAGCCAACGGAGCGCTAATTATTTACGGAGGGTTAATTATTTGAACAGCATTTAAATACATTTAAAACATAATTTACAAATTTATACATGAACTAAATTTTTTATATAATTACAGTTAAAGAGATTATCAGATATGCCCTTCAAATTTCAGTTTTAAAAAATTCCTTTGGACAAAGATGTAGATATTTTTGCGACAAAAGAGCACATATAATTAATTATTAGGCAACAAACTAAAGCTTTAATTCAAACCTAAAAGATACAAAATTAATAATTCATACATGCAAAATAATTACATAAAAAAAGATATAAAAATAAGATCATACAACATGTGACAAATTTATTTTTTATTCAACATTACACCACAATATAATATTTTTGTTTTAAAAAAGGAAAGACACGCTAGACTCATCAGACGAGATACAAGCCAATGTAAAATTTAAAATCAAGCAAATAAGCAGCCTTAGATTGGCACAGATTTTAAACATAATTATTGAAGGAATTTTATATTGTTATTTTCTTCCTTCACATTCGTACGGGGTTTGTGCGGATTTGGAGTGAATAATAATGACACTACTTGATGAAGTATCGAAACACACTTTATTTAGCCAATATTACAGCTCCAACCATATACAATTATCAGGACAGCTCCAATAACACATCTACACAGTTGTCGAAGAACTACAGTAAACACGCTGGAACAATCAGCGACACATCCTTCAGGTTATCAGGCTATAACGGTGGAGACAGCTTCACTGCAAAGCACCAGAGTACAGCTTCCAACTCTGCTTGGTCGTTCTCAGTACTCCACGTACTTTCGAAACTCTCCACGCTACAGCTCGCGACGCACTCAATGACAGACAGAGCACAGCTCCCGACTCATGGGT